GGAGCTGGCAGCACCTGAAAGCAGGGAGGCAGACTAGACAGCACCACTGGCCCGGCGGGAGATTTTGGCTTTGATTCTTATCTCTCCCTGAGGTTCACGCAAACCATTGGAAGCCAGGTCCAGCCCTGCACATCCTGTCTGCTTTTCCCCTCTGGAGGATTGCCCACCGCGTCTCAGAGGGCAGGAGCATACCAGCATCTCCTGCTGTGACACAGCTGTCCTAGCCAGAGTGGCATGGCTGACCTTGGTGATGCTGAACCTGTCAGAGGAACAAATTGCTTCGTGCAGAGATGTCCTGGCTCCTAAAGCACCCCAGAGTCAGGATGGCAGAACAATCTCCAACTCCTGAAAGGGCTTGGAAAGGTTTTTCAGCTTCCCCTTTAATATCCAGTGTGATAACTTGTGCCAGGAGATCTGGTCAATGCCCCAATGTGCTGAAAGACAGGAAAAGCACAATTCTGCTTTCCCCCTTCTCCTCCCCAAATATCAGCGGCAAAAAGTCCCTTCAGAGGCCAACAGCTCTCTGTGCCTGCAGGAAATCTTCAACAACCTTTCATTTCATCCTACTGTGCCTCATGCCCTGGAGGTATCAGGGATTTGCTCAGGGCTCGTAGCAGCAGCAGCAGCAGCTTTGCCCAACAGCAGATCCCAAACTCAGATTGCTTCCCTGGGGACACCCAGTACAGCCAGCTGCATCCCTGTTTGCTCCTGCTGAAAGGGGACTCAGAGCCAGATCCCCTCACACTCTTGGCTTTTGCAATAGGGATGGACAAGATGGCTGTTTCTTCATGCAGAATAGCTGAGTCTTTATTCACACAGCTCACATTTATGTGAAAATCAGAAGGCACTGTGTGAGCAATTCATTGGAACTCAGTTCATTGGTTGGGAATGGCTAGTGTATGTGTCCATCAAGTATTTTTCTTTCTAGATATGTTCACATTTTTGTCTTCTGCTTCTGAGAAGTGGATGTTTCATACACGAGTAGAATTTTCCTCTCCACAGGTGCAAGCTATCGTTTCACAAGAATAGATCATTATGCAAACTGATTCTCATTATTTTAATTTTTTTTTCATGGGGAAAAAAAAGAATTTTTTTCCTCAGGCTAGCTGTTAGCTTAGCCAAAATAACAAGGCCTTAATTTACAAGGCTTTTCTTTTATAAGGTTTTACCTATATCTAGCACTTGGCCACCTGCCCTGTCTGTTCCCACTTTCTCCTGGCACTTCTCACCCCGTTATCTAAAACCATTGTCCTCAGGGGGTTGGGATGAGCTGACCTTTACAGCCCCTTCCAGCCCCAGACCATCATGTGATTCCTCAGGCAGATTCTTCCTTTGCTGGGGAGGGATGAGGAAGGTGCAGGGGCTGGGAAGTTGTGATTGTGCCCTTGCACCATGAGCTGCCAGGATGGGCAGAGCAGTCCCATACGATGCTATTGGCATTGCAACACTAGGGAAGGTGTTGACAAAAGAGGAATTTCAGCCTCTTGGTTTATTCACTGTCCTGCTGAAGAGCAGGAGCAGAACTTTGAGGTGAGCAGGAGGAATTAACTCTCCTGTTCCTCCTGACGCTGCTGCTACCAAGGGGTCATAGAGCCAGCACCTCTGGAAAATGCTCTGTCAGCTGCAGACAGCTCCCTAAAAGCTCATCAGCTGACACAGCTGCAAGCTGGGGTGCTCCCTAAGGGCCAATGTCCCTTCCAGTAACTCCCAGTCATCCTCCTGAATGCAGGAACATCCTGAGGAAACACCTTTATGCTCCCCCTTGCAGCTGGCTCAGGACAGAGAAGACCATAGGTCTGGTCTGGGGGAAGGAACCTAAGGCCAGGTCCCCGGCAAGGCAGCATTCCTGGAGCACCTGGAGTTTGTCCCCTGTCCCTGTGTCACAGTCACTCGTGTCCCTGCTCTGTGGCCAGGGAGGAGCTGCCCTGGAAAGCTGGCAGGTATTCAAATGCTCCTGGCACCCAGGGACACACACCAGCCTGGGCTGGTGACACAGCAGGGGCTGGCCCAGTGCCTGCCCAGCCTTTCCCTGAGCTTGGGCGCTGGTAGGAGCAGGGCTATGAGGCACGGCCAGGGCACAGCACAATTCGCTGCTCTGCTCCTGGCAAGGGCCTCTTGTTGGGCTGAGAAATGTCCCTGGCTTCTCCCCCTGGGAAATGGGGAAGGGATCCTTCCCTTCCCTTGGGCTGCCATGGCACAGCCCGGGAGTACTGCCCAACCTGACCTGGCACTGCTGTGTCACATGAGGATGGTGGCAGTCCTCTGGCACTGCTGTGTCACATGAGGATGGTGGCAGTCCCCTGGCACTGCTGTGTCACATGGGGATGGTGGCAGTCCCCTGGCACTGCTGTGTCACATGGGGATGGTGGCAGTCCCCTGGCACTGCTGTGTCACAAAGGGATGGTGGCAGTCCATAGCAATCCCACTGCCACACACAGGCACAGGGCTCACTGCCAGCAGCAGCCCAGCTCTGTGGGATCCATGTCCCCGTCTGGCTGTGGGAAGTGTCTGGGATCAGGTGAGGCAAAGCAGTGACGGCCACTTTGGGTGGTGACACTGACACTGGTGGCAGTGACAGAGAATCCCTGCACTATGCCAGGACATGCTGATCCCCTGGAGTTTCCTTTAGGGAAACAACACTGTCTTTTCCATCATAGGACCACACCAGCACATACTCCCTCCCACTTGGCATTTTTCAGCCCTCAGCAGCTAAACAGGATCAGATCTGGCCAAAAATGCAGGGAAGAATGCTGTTAACCAGCAATGGCCCTGCTGAGGCAGCAGGATCCATCCCATAATCAATGCCCAGGTGCATGGTTCGGAGGGATCCTGCAGCATGGACACCTCAGATGTCCCAGGCTCAGCCCCACAACCCCATCTCAAGGCCTGGACACAGCAGAAGCAGCTGCTCCTCCAGGCACAAAACTGGCTCCATCAGGAGTTTGCAAACAATGCAGGGAGTTAGGGAAAATTCCATCTGGGAGGGTGACAGCTAAGCAGTGCCCAGCCGAGTCCCAGGGGAGCGTTCCCAGCACAGTTTGTGACCCATTCTGCAGCCACGCTGGAGGATCAGCTGAGACAAGAGGCCCTTGCAGGCACTCCCAGATTATTCTTTCTTTAATCACTTCCATCCATTCTAACCAAGTTCTCCAGCAGAACTGGAAACAATCACCAGTGACCAGTTAGAGAGAGAGGAGGGAAGGCAGGGAGGACGAGGGATAACTTCCCTGAAGACAGTCACGTTTCAGTGAAGCTACACAAATGGAAAGAGCACAGGGAACTGTCCAGAACATGTCATTGAGAGTTTATTACCATGCTATATTTCCATGCAGATCCTGCCAAATTAGCTGCAGAGTTATCCACAGAAAATTAAGCATTTGGAGCAATAAATGCTTGGGATGAGATGGAGAGCAGCACATCCTCTCATGGTATGTGCAGCAGGTTCCAGCTTCCTTTCCCCTGGCCTCCCTCAGAGCAGAAATGTAGCATCCTTCCAATAAATTCTTTGTTGTCCTTGGCTCTAGAAGATGATCTTCCTGATCTCAGTTCAGCTTAACAGATGGTTTATGTTTGCAGCACCCCCAGCTGAGTGTTCCAACAACTGAAGGCATCTGATAATCACTGGGACATCTTCTTGTGGCTTCACCTGGATCAGCCAGTGACAGGGAAGCACAAATAATAAAGACCAAAGGAACTGTATTTTAGAGTCTTGTGAGATGCTTCATAACCAGGTCAGTGCCGTGGCTCTGAGCATGGAGATGTTGCAGGGGAATTAAATCCATACATAGCTGAACTTAAAAAAACCCCAAACAGTGAAAATAAAGTTCTTTCTGTCCTCCCTGCTGTGCTCTGGGCTGTTGTGGGAGCTGCCAGGACAAAGCCCTGCCTGTGGGAATGAAGAGGAGGCAGAGCCAGGGATCCCCCACATCTGTGGGCACAGTCCCTGCCTGGCACACAGGCTCTCCAGGCTGGCACAGCTGCCTCAGGACCTGATCCAAGGCTCAGCATGTGGCTCTGTGCTCTCTACGGGAAATTTAGGATCAAGCCATCTTCCTCTCAGAGCTACAGCCCTCCTGGGAATGCCTGGCTGGGGCTCTTTACCCTGAGATATAGCCTGAGCTGTCTGTTCTGCTGCTGACATTTCAGGTAAATTCATTTCCCCTCTGTTATTAAAATAGTCTGTGAAGTGAAATACCAAACTAAATTCAATTTTGCTTTATTAGGGATGCTGTAGCAAATGATTCCAGGTTTCTTTGCAGGGACAGCAGTGGGGATGGTTCATTACAATACTTGCAGCCCTGCCAGGCTGAAGAATGCTTTCCTTGTAAAAGCAGTTGGATTAAACAACAGGTGAGCAAAAGGAACAGCAGCTCGTATCAAATATCTGTAGCCAGTGAACAGACACTGCCCTCAGGCAAGACCTTGTTATCCTGTAGCACAATCTCCCTTGCCTGGAACAGAACCTTCTTGTTCTTCTTCCATCTTGTCAGAAAATGTCAACTGGTTTTCCTCTTTTTTCTTTCTCCAGTTTGCTTCCCCCTGTAGCCACCCCTGCTTATTCCTCTGGGTGGTATCAGGGCCACACAGGGCAAATAGCAGGAAAAATCAATCCTCAGAAAGAAAACAAAAATAACATTTTACCTTACAGCGCTATGAAGTGGGGAACAACAAGTGGTTCTGCTGCAGCCCAGGCCTTGAGACAGAACAAACTCCTCCAGGGAGGATTGGACACAAACTTTATTTCTAATAAATGGTTCTACTAGGGACATGGGGGTGGTGGGGACAGCATCCAGCAATGAGCAGCACACAGACAGGAACAACACCAAAGAGGATTTGGAAGCATGAAGCTGCCCTGCCCTCCCCATACCTGTCCCACATTGTTTTCACTCTGGGGCAGTTTTTCAGGATAACTCAGAGGGTGACCTGGCTGCAACAGCTCTGCAGGGAGGGCTGGGGACGAGGACAAGGCACAGGGAGGGAACACTGCTGGTGCTGCAAGGTCACACCCAGGCCTTGAGCTGGGTGTTGCAGCCCCTGGCACAGCACCAGCGGCCCCCCTTGTAGAGGGCCAGGCTGTAGGGCTGGAAGCACATGAGGAGCTGCAGGCGCCGTGCCAGGCTGCAGTAAATGGCCATGGCCACCACCAGCAGCGGGGACATGATGACAAAGCCCAGGATGATGAGGGCAGAGGAGCTGTTGTCATCCAAGATGCTCTTGCAGTAGCGGGCAGAGGAGTGCAGCACCTGTGGGGAGAGTGAGGCAGAACTAGGATCATTGAATTGGAAAAGAGCTCCCAAAAGTGCCACGTTAACCCACTCTGCCAGGGTCACCCGTCATGTGGCCTGGTGGTTACAGCAGTGGCCAAAACACCCTTGAGTTTCCAATGTTGCCATGGAAAAAGACATCTCTTCCCTCCCTCAGAGCTGAGCAATCTTCAGGTACACTCTGTGACTGATATCAGTCACAAGCTTTCAATTATCAAGTTATCAAGCTTTCAATTATCCCAGCATCCCTGTGAGACAAGAGCACTTCACACTGATCCTGGAGCAGGAAGTACTCATCTTTATTAAAACATCCAATGGTATTTGATAGGCACAAACCAAAGCAAAAAGCCTCCTGGTGCTACATTGGTGTGGGTGGCACAACACTGGGAATAACAAAAAAATAAATAAAAATACAGAAATCTGTTAGGGTCTGCAGACAGAAGTTGGTTATTTCATGGCTCTCCAGACCCCTTTGTGTTCTGCTCTCTGTGAACACTCATTTCTACCTGAAAAACCTGACAGGAAAGACCATTTGCAAATAAAACCTCCCAGGACCTGGCTGAGTAGTGTTTAAAGCCCTCCTTTCGTGCTGGCAGCATTAGAGCTGAGCTGAGTACTCGGCTGTTCTGCACTAACAAATGCTGCAGGCAGTCCCCATGTCCCGAGACTTTATTCTTTTTCCTTTCAGCAGTAAAAGGAACACAACCCATCATCCTAAAACCCAACAGTAAATCCACCTAATGGAGCTGCAGTGTAGAAATCAGCCTCTGGCTGCTGGGGAGGCACTGAAAAGTCATGGCCCAAAGACAGGAACTGCTCTAGGAAAGGCACAATCCCTTGCTATGATTTTATTAAAGGAAAGGCTGTTTTAAAAAGATTCCTCACTGCTTCCAGCAACACAGGGGCTTTCACTTCTGGTCCACTTGGCTGCATTCAAAAACATATTGCATCTCCTCAGAGCCTTTGAGTGTGTGTGCAAAGGAGAACTTGAGGTTTTCCAAGGTGAGGGAAGCTGAAAGGGGCAGTTCTTGGAAGGTTTTTTTTCCATTTTCAACCCAATTTGCAGTCCCTGTATGACTTATGACTTTATGACTTATGAAACAGGCACATTGAGCTGGTCTAACAGCCCATGCCTGCAAGGAAAGCAGGGAACTGCTTTTTCATATCCACGCTTGGTCAAGTGATCCCAAAAATGTTTAAAGGAATATACCAAGAAGAGATTTGTAAGTAAGGAAATAATGCAGTGCAAAGGGCAGCAAACAAAGCCTGGATGGACAAAGGAGTCTCTTTTCTGGTGTGAGGAATGCACAGAATGTTTGGGAACAGGAATGTTATCTTGGCATGAGAAGGGGATTATATATTCTGTCAGATTTTACTAATCCGATCATTAGGCAGATCCTAATGGATCTTAAACTTAGTTAAACAGAAAGCAGCAAACCCTACCAGAGCCCAGGCGGGACTTTGAGCTCTGGAGTTCTGTTTGGCAGCTCTCAGTGACAGAAATCACAGGGAAGAGAGAAACATTGTGAAATTAAAATGCTAACAGCAACTCCATCAGGGCAGGGAGTGTGTTCACCTCACCTGGCACCTCTGCTTGGCTTCCATGGGGACACAAGTTTATTGCCCAATTTCCCAAATACCTGTTCTTGTCAGCCCAGACTATTCACACAGGGAAAAGTCTGTTTCCTTAGGGAAACAAAGCCAAAACTTGGGGAGCGTTGCCTGGCCTTCACAGCCATTGCTCAGCTGGGGCTCAAAGGAACCCTCAGGTGTGGCCCTGCCTTTGAGGAGTGGCACTTACCTGGGAGTGGCACTGGAAGCCAAAGTAAACCACCACAATGGTAGGAAGCAGCACAATGGTGAAAATAACAAACATCAGGAGCAAATTAATGAGGAAGACCAGGGAGTTCATGGTTCCTATCACCAGGGTCCATGCCAGGCAGCACCAGGGGCTGCGGGGCTCCCTGGGAAGGAGCTGGTCATCCATGTCATACAGGGGGAGCCCAGGGATCATCCGAGACTTTTCTGAGAGGATTTCTGCTCCAAAGTCCTCAGGGTCCCTGCCAGACATCCTTCAAGAAGATCCACCAACCCACGCTCTTATCCAAAAGGGTTTCCTTTTGGTCTAACAGAGCTGGGAAGGAACTTGCAAAGGCTTCTTCTGTCTCTTCCACAGGTGGTCAGGAGCCCTTAACCAGAGATCATCATGGAGCAAGCAAGGAAAGGTCTCTTTGGGCCCCCTACTCCCCCAGGGCCTGCTCAGCACAGTTTGCTTCCTTCAGATGCCTTGCCAGCAGTGTCCCAGCCTCAGTCCCAAAGCAGATCTGCTGGAAGTTTGGCAGTAGCTTTTATTTTGGTTTAGAATCCAGAGTCCTACCAAATTTGCTGTATTTCCCAGGATTATGATCCCAAGAGGTCCCAAAGGGTTGCTGTGGTAGCTGTGATGGGCTGCTCAGTGGGCTTTAGTATCCCACTCCACCTTTGAGCTCAGCTGGCTGTTCAGCATATCAGGCTTACGTGTTCAGAATATCAGGTTTAGGCACCCACAGGCAGTTCCTTGTCTTCAAACCGCCTGTTCATGCTCCTCATCCTATACCCAGGCAAATATTCCTGCCCAAGTCTCATCCAAATGAGGTGAGCAGTGAATATAAAGGATAGCAGGCGTTTCCCAGTCTCTGGAGTCCTCGCCCTTCCGTGCAGCAGAGATGGGAGCAGCGTGTGGTGCTGTGACTGCTCTCAGCTGCCTGCAGTCACAGCCACTCAGACCCAGCAATTTCGTCCCTTCTGAGGCAGCTGAGCTTTGCAAGGCTGCTGTGTTTACAGAACAGCCTCAGAGCTGCTCTCTGTGCTGCCAATCCTTCACATGTGTCTCCCCACGGCAGCACCCAAGAGCCATGCTCCAGCCAGCCATGGTCCCACTCCAGTTTTAACTATTCTGACTCTGATTCATTTTCTAAAATTCCACTCTAGATTAAAAACAAAACAAAACAAACGAAAACCTAAGAGAAATTTATAAGAATCACTGTGTTCCTCAGAAATCATCCGTCTGCAGTCATCTGTTATTGTTTGCAGAACATATTGATACTCTCATAGAGGAGGCACAGCAATTATCAATTATTTAATCTACCTCATAAGATCAATATTATTCTAAGAATTTCAGTGACATCTCCATGCCTGTGTAGCCTCCAAGATATAGTGGCAGTAATAAGAGAGAGATATTAAAAAATACAGAGAGAAACAACCTCTAAACCAGACAGCAGAGTGTGACAAGTCCGTTTCCATCATGTTCCCTTGCTGCACTCCCGGGCTGGATGGCTCCCAGGGGAGTTTGCAGGGCAGCAGCCTCCACTCAAGCTGCAAAATGTGAAATCTCCTCTCAGATCTGTCCAGATATCCCGAGGGAAATAAATGCTGGATCCATCCTGTTTTCAGTGCTGCACAGGCCAGAGAGAGTGTTAATAATAAAGTCTGAAGCTGTGCAGGAAACCATAAATGTGACAAGTGGCAGGGAGCTTTGAAAGTCTCAGTGTCTAAATTCTGTTTAAAGACATAATATTTTTCAAGCTTCATTTATGCCTTTGAAGTGGAAAAAAGGACAAGTCACACAAACAGAAAGAACCCAACCCAAAACTATAGGAAGAGGAATCAATTTTAGGCTTAAACCATGGAAAGATGAACTTGGTGCCGGGCAACTAAAAATCCTACAGCTGCTTTTATCATCTGCTGGTGATGGCACAGGGGTGTGGTGAAACACAATTTAAACATTCATAAAAGTGCCATAAATTCTAAAAAGTTTTGCTAAATCCAGTGAAACTTTCCAAAGTTCTTTGGCTATAATGAAAATGTATTTTAACCTTTCTAGGGAGGTCTGAAAATTGTGTTCTATGCAATTCTTTTCTACACCTTCTACTGATTCTTGTAATAATCAAGTGACCTTTGTGTCAGACAAACCTCAGCAACATGAAGATTCCTCTCTAATTCTGTGAAATTTCCACGTCCTTAACAAGAACTTTCCCAGAAGTGGGGAAGATCCTGATGATGGAGAAGTTTATAATAGGAGCATCATTGCTTTGGGATGCTGGAACTGGTGATGATTAAAGAGCACCAGAAATACACATCAGTTCTCTGACGCCAAGGATTGCTCCTCCCAAGGAATCATTTTCAGGCAGCACCATCTTGTGGTTTGCTGCAGTTCATAAATTTCCAATTTATGTCTCCCATTTTCTAACCCTAACCTGACAGGATGGGTTAATAACCAATTTATCCACTATGGAATCCTTCCAGTTACTGAAAACACCACCAAATCTTCTCACATTGGTTGTTGGAGCACTGCTGGGGATACAAAGCCCAAAGTCTGCTCCAAATCCCTCACTGAGCTCTGGGAATGCACACCCCAAGCAGCCCAACTCTTTTCTACAGGGAATTTTGGCTCCAGCTCCGTGGTACAACCCCACCACACAGTGTGTGGCTGCTTCCAGGTGAGCTGTGGGTTTGGGCTGGTTTGGGTCACACCTCATGCAGGTGATGAGGGTGTCGTGGTCACTTGAGACGGCTGGGATCAGGTAAAAGTTCTTCACCAGAGGGTGAATGTCTCTGGTGACCACGGACCTGAGGGAACGGCTGGAGTTGTGCCAGGAGAGGTTTAGGTTGGATTCTGGGAAAGGTTCTTCCCGCAGAAGAACCTGCACTGCCCAGCCTCCCCGGGGAATGGGCACAGCCCCAAGAGCCCCAGGAGGGTTTGGACACCGCTCCCAAATATGCACGGGGTGGGGTTTTGGGGTGGCAGGGCCAGGGTTTGGATCCTTGTGGGTCCTTTCCAACTCAGGATACTCCATCCTCAGGCCGGGGCAAAAGATGCCCAACACTGAGAAAAGCCACTGTAGTGCGGGAGAGGGGCCGGGGGAGGCAGAAGGGCTGGGAAAGATCCGGGAAAAGGGCCGGGGAAGGACCGGGAAAAGGTTTGGGGACAGGGGAAGGACTGGCGGAAGGGCAAGGGGAGGATCGGGAGAAGGGGGAAGAACTGGAGGAAGGGCTGGAAGAACGCCCGGCAAGGATCGGGGGAAGGGCCGGAAGAAGGACGGGGAAGGCTCGAGGGAAGGATCAGAGGAAGGACCGGAGGAAGAACTGAAGAAAGGACCGGGCAGGCTCGGGGACAGGATCGGAGGAAGCAGCGGGGGCAGGGTTGGAGGAAGCAGCGGGGAAAGGCTCGGGTGCCGCCCCGGAAGGCTCCGTGCCCAGCCATGGTGGTGCTGAGCGCGGCGCGCTGGCTGCGGAGCCGCCTCTCGGAGCGCTTCTGGAGGGTGCAGGAGGTGCTCAAGTACGCGCGGGTGAGTGCGGGGTCCCCGGGCCGCCGCCAGGCCCAGTTCGGCCCTGTCTCTGCATCCCCCTGTCCAACCCCGGCATTGCCCTGCCCTGTGCCCCTCGCAGGCTCCCGAAGCCAGGGGTGCCCCTGCATCCCTGGAAAGTGCCCCAGACTGCTCCAAGCCCTATCCAGCCGGGGGTGGTGGCCCTGCCCGTGGGTGGCACTGGGCGGTCTTGGAGGTCCCTTTTCCACCCCGACCGTTCTGCGATTCTGTGGTTGTCTCGTGCTGTAAATTGATCTGTATTAAATACAGAGTGCTGGAGGCTGTGCTGATTGTGTTTCCTTCTTGAGTGTTCTTTTATTTTGTTTGTTTTACTGGGTAAAGAAGCTGGGGTAAAAAAATTAACCTTTTTCTCAAGCGCATTTTGAAATGGGATTTCTGCTAAAGTTGAAGCACTGTGCCGAGGCTAAGGAAGAATCTTTCTCAAGGGCATCCTAGGTAGTACATCTTGACGTAATACTGAAAGAGAAAAAGTTGAAGGAAGTGAGAATATTTTGGTATTGTAGCACCTAAGCTGCCCACAGTACCTGTTATGGTGCAGCACTGATTGCTTTTTCCTGTGTTATGTTAGATGGATGTCAGAATTTTTATTTTTTTAAAATATTTTTTTTTCTCTTTGGGCAGTTCTTTGACAAATCAGAGGCTCCTGCCCCATCCCTGTGCTCATACAGACACAACTGAGGGGAGCTCAGGAATGAGAATAAATATGTGAATTCAGGGTTGGGTGAAAGAAGTGACCATGATTTTGTGATTGCCTTTCTCACAGAACCACAGCCCAAAGTGAGGCCTGGTTTTGCTTTGGCTGGACTGGGATTTTTCCACCCTGTTCCAACTCCTTAGCTTCAGGTTTTCCAGGATAAAAACCAAGGAAAGAATATTTTCATTATGTGCCAACTGAAGGCTTAAAGGGTGCTTGTGAAGGGTTCAGTGATCCTTGTTATGGAAAGATGTGAATACAAATGAGCTTTATTAGTGTTATATCTTTAAATCTAATTGAGTAAGACCATCCTGTTTTGGTTTTTTTCCCAGCATTTTCGTGGCAGGAAGAACCGCTGCTACAAGCTGGCAGTGAGGAGTGTCCGCAGGGCTTTTGTGAGGTCCACCAAGGCCAGGAGGGAGAAGAAGAGATTCCTCAGAGCGGTAAAGAGCAAAATATTGGGTGGAAACATCAAAATGGGAGGAAGGCAGAAGTGAAACAGCTGCTTTTTTTACTGGAGGGTTTCCTTCCAGTGGGTGAAAAGTAGGAGTCCAAGGCAGCATTTTCCTGGGTCATGTTCATGTGGGTCCCTTCCAGCTCAGGATATTCTATGAATGGAATATTTAGAATGGAAAACTAATATTTATTTTCTTTCCTATGAAAATGTTATATTTAGTAAGTATGAGCAGACCAGTGTGGCAAAGGGTTTACTTTTAAAGTATTTTATTATGCAATATATTAATTTTTACACCTTCAGCTCTGGATTACAAGGATTGAAGCAGCTTCCCTTGAACATGGTTTGAAGTACCCAGCCTTCATAAGCAACCTGGTCAAGGTAAGGATGTGGCTTGGAGGATAGTTACTTACTAATTAGAGTGATGAAAGGCTTTCTGCTTGTGAAAGCAGTTTCATCCACTTCAGGAACTACATTCTGCCCTAAACTTGTTTTTCTTCCCTATATGGATTATTCCCTTTCATCCTGGTGAACACTGGGGCTCCACTTCATGTTCTGTCCCCAAAACTTAGGAATGAGACTTTTAAAATGCTTTTTTTATGGGCATTCAGTGACAGCTGCTTTTACTTTTACTTCAAGAAATTTAAAAATACAAAGCTTGGATTAGCAAAAAGCCCAAAAACCTAAGAAATCCTTATTCTTTTCACTGTCTGTGTGATTTAGGGAGCGTGGAGAGTGCAGATACTTGGTGCCATTGTCCCTTGTTTTTAAAACACACTGGGAATTTGTTTCAATTTGTTAATTCTGTTTTAATTTGTTCGAGCTGAAATAGATGCCATGGATTAACCTGGAACACGTGGCCTTGAGCAAAATTAGAGATTTTTCTTCAGTTCTTGGTTTCTACCAGAAAAACTATAAAGTCTGTAAATAATTTTTACATGATGGGTTAATGAGACATCCATGGCCACGGAGTGCCTGACAGTCTTTAACAAGCTCCAAATTGCACAGTGCAGAAAAAAGTTAATCTGCCTTAAGACCTCAGGTCTTAAGCCTTAAGAGTGTTTAATGACACTTAACGAAGAGCGTTTATATAAACAGTAAAGAGTGTTCCTTATATTTAATAAAGAGAGATTAAGCCATTGCAGTGTCATTCCTAAAAAGCACAGTCCTTAACCAACAATTTTTCTTGCCTTTAGACACAGGTGGAGCTGAACAGAAAAGTTCTGGCTGACTTGGCTATTTATGAGCCAAAGACATTCAAGTCCCTGGCGGCCTTAGCCCAGAGGAGGAGACAGGAAGGGTTCCTGGCTGCCCTGGGAGATGGAAAAGAACCAGAGGGGATATTTTCACGTATTGTGCACCACCATTATTGATATCAGAGTCTGTATGTATGTTTTAGAAACAGGAGTTTGATTGTGAAGCAAACCTGCTGTGGGACTGCTGCTGAAATGGAGAATGTGGAACAAATCCTCTAAGGATTGTGTGGGTGTGAAGGTTCTCCTTGATGGCTTTTTTTTCCCTGTGTTGTTGTCACTGAAACCTGTTAAATTAAAAGCACACTTCAAGGTTAGCAGTCAGGCCATACAGTGACTTAATAAAGCTTTTTTTTTTTTTTTTTTTTT